GTTTCACCACCAAGCTTGACCCCAAGTTTGACACCAAGCTTGACCCCAAGCTTGACCCCAGTCTTGACCCCAAGCTTGACCACCAAGCTTGACCCCAAGTTTGACCACCAAGCTTGACCCCAAGCTTGACCACCAAGCTTGACCACCAAGCTTGACCACCAAGCTGGACACCAAGTTTGAGACCAAGCTTGACTTGACCCCAAGCTTGACCACCAAGCTTGATCACCAAGCTTGACTCCCAAGCTTGACCCCAAGCTTGACCACTAAGCTTGACTCTCAAGCTTGACCACCAAGCTTGATTCCATAGCTTGACCACCAAGCTTGACTCATAAGAACATAAGAACGAAGGAACACTGCAGAAGGCCTACTGGCCCATGCGAGGCAGGTCCAAGTCTCCTACCGGCTTAAGCCAATGCACCCAACCTAGTCAGGTCAGGTCACATTGACTTAAGGGAGGAACACGGCAACCGACCGGGTAGCACAAGCATCAGGTCTAACTCACACCCACCCACATTTTACTCATGTATTTATCCAACCTATTTTAAAGTACACAACGTTTTTGGCCTCTATAAGGGTTTACTGGGAGTTTGTTCCACTCTCCACAACTCTATTACCAAACAGTACTTTCCTATATCCTTCCTGAATCATGAATTTTTCCAACTTAAAACCATTGCTGCGAGTCCTGTCTAGGCTAGATATTTCAGCACACTATTTACATCCCCTTTATTTATTCCTGTCTTCCATTTATACACCTCAATCATATTCTCCCCTAATTCTATCGTCTTTCTAGAGAATTAGGGAGATATGATTGAGGTGTATAAATGGTGACAGAATAAATAAAGGGATGTAAATAGTGTGCTGAAATATCTAGCCTAGACAGGACTCGCAGCAATGGTTTTAAGTTGGAAAAATTCAGATTCAGGAAGGATATAGGAAAGTACTGGTTTGGTAATAGAGTTGTGGATGATGGAACAAACTCCCAAGTACCGTTATAGAGGCCAGAACGTTGTGTAGCTTTAAAAATAGGTTGGATAAATACATGAGTAGATGTGGGTGGGTGTGAGTTAGACCTGATAGCTTGTGCTACCAGGTCGGTTGCCGTGTTCCTCCCTTAAGTCAATGTGACCTGACCTGACTAGGTTGGGTGCATTGGCTTAAGCCGGTAGGAGACTTGGACCTGCCTCGCATGGGCCAGTAGGCCTTCTGCAGTGTTCCTTCGTTCTTATGTTCTTATGAGTCAAGCTTGGTGGTCAAGCTTGGGAATCAAGCTTGGTGGTCAAGCTTGAGAGTCAAGCTTAGTGGTCAAGCTTGGGGTCAAGCTTGGGAGTCAAGCTTGGTGATCAAGCTTGGTGGTCAAGCTTGGGGTCAAGTCAAGCTTGGTCTCAAACTTGGTGTCCCAAGCTTGACCACCAAGCTTGACTCCCAAGCTTGACCCCAAGTTTGGCACCAAGCTTGACCCCAAGTTTGGCACCAAGCTTGACCCCAAGTTTGGCACCAAGCTTGACCCCAAGCATGAACACCAAGGATTATTTGGTGTTCTGGTAGCGGGGAGTAAATGATACATCTTCGCAGGCTTCTTACTTTATTGTTAAGTCATGGTGGGTACACAGGTTTGTGTGTTGTGCCCATGGCCCGGGCAGGGCCATCCCACGAGAGAGAGCTACTAGGCCTACTGTCTTGACTGCTTGAGGAGTGACGCCAGAGTGAGAGCGTGGCAAGGGCAGGCAGGCTGAAGTGGCAACACCTATAGGTGGCAGCACCAGCATGGCGCGAAATATGAACTAAGCTGGCAGACAGCATGGGCTGTCTGTGCAGACAGTACAGGCTGTCTACATACGCTCGGCCACCTACCGCGCCGACGCGACAACACTGGTGGTAAAAGAAACTCGGTCTCTCTCTCGTAGGAACAGGGCACAGAACACAAAATAAAAAACATATATATACATATGGACATGGAAAAAAAAATTTCCTACAGGGAGGGAAGAAAAATACATGTGAGGTTTGCTAAACATCGTGGTCATAGGCAGTGAGCGTCTATGGGCATCACTGCACGCCTTCCTGCATCTGGACAGATACTGCAACACAGGAGACATCGCTGCAGCTGAGCTGTGACGTAACAGGGTATGGTCTCCTCTGGAACGGTGAAGCAGTCATCGTAGGAGTCGCTGCAGGTTTTCACTCAACCTGGGGCACGACATGCTGGTGCCCTCGAGTGAGGCGTCGACAAAACTCAGCAACTGGGCAGGACTTCTGGCAAGCGACTCAGGAGGACACTTCTCAACTGGTACTGTCGCTGGGCTGTCACTGCCGGCAAGCGTGGAGCGAGTTGTGGAGCGAGTCGTGGCAGAGACGACTGGGCGAAACATCTGGGAGTCGTAACATCATACACCAGACTGCAGTGAGAGAGCTAGCAGTCAAAGTGACATCTTCTTTGTGCAGGCTGCTCACTGAAGCTTGTGACACGAGGCTGACACAGCGCCTGCCGACAGGGCTAACTGCGGCTTGACAAGTGTCATTCTCTCGGGAATTGGAGTTACAGCAGAGGTTAGTCTAAGCGTCCCCAGACTTGTTTCTCTACATATAACTGCACTCTGAAGGTCTGGAGGTGAAGTGAAACAAATCTCGATGGGAATCATAGCAGGTACGATTCTGCAGAACATCTATGAGCGATGAGCATAAGAGCTTTCTGTACAAAGGAGCGCAAATGCTCAGAGCTGACTCATAACAACTGTCAAACGCACTGGTCACATGGGGTGACTTAGCACAGTGGTGATACTCAGGTCTGACTCAGACCTCACTGGACACACGGAAACTTTAAACACACCAGCGGTACATACAGTACACTAACATGTGAGAACACTGACTGAGAGGAATTAATTAACACACGACATATATCTTCTCTCAATCTTCTCGACAATACTGAAATAATTACTAGAAACACTCGATGTGACATCATGTGATGTCAGGCGTGATGTCGCGAGGTGACGTCAGCAGCACTGTGACGTCAGCAGACATCTCGAGGTGATGTCAGCAGACATCTCGAGGTGACGTCAGGCAGACATCGTGACGTCATGAAGTCGGGCAGCAGCATCGGTGACGTGAAGTCGGGCAGCATCGTCGGTGACGTCAATGTGATGCGGGCAGCAGACCACAGCATGTGGCCTGGGACATCTGGCTTGGTAACTCACGTGGTTTGTAGATCCACATGACATCGCCCACACCCACGTGGCGTCGGGATCCACGTGGCGTCGTGATCTACATGGCATGCTGATCCACGTAGCTTCGAGTGGCCTCGGGCACTCGGATACACAGTTCTGGCAATGAATTCACACAGAAAACAGCAGAAACACAGCAGAGGGAGTGGGCAGTGGTGAGTGGTGTATGGTAGGCTGGTGAGGTGTGAGAGTACAGCAGGGTGAGGTAAGGAACGGCCACTTCCTCCTCCTCCTACATACACGTTGAGAAACTCACACTGGACGCAGAAATCACCACAAAACTCACCTCTGGCTTGCTGCAACAACTGTGCTGAGCTGAACAACAACAACAGCTGAACATACAAGTGACGCTGAACACGTGACTTGAGAAACTGCGTGGGACGCTGTAGCGTGGGGTCTCTGGGACGCCACTTACAAATCTCGAAGAAATTCGGTAAATTTCGGCTGGATCCTGCTTGTACCTGTGTCTGGATTCTCAAACGTGCAGACACGACATCAGGATAACTTGTTAAGAGACGGATGCTTCCTGTATAGGTGATGAAGTGAAGATGACTTCATACCTCTTCCTTCCTCTCTCCGGGCAAACAACTGCTGCGACCACCGCTGCTACCATTGTTTAATGGGATTATTTGGTGTTCTGGTAGCGGGGAGTAAATGATACGTCTTTGGAGGCTTCTTACTTTATTGTTAAGTCATGGTGGGTACACAGGCTTGTGTGTTATGCCCATGGCCCGGGCAGGGCCATCCCACGAGAGAGAGCTACTAGACCTACTGTCTTGACTGCTTGAGGAGTGACGCCAGAGTGAGAGCATGGCAAGGGCAGGCAGGCTGAAGTGGCAATGCCTGTAGGTGGCAGCACCAGCATGGCGCAAAATATGAACTAAGCTGGCAGACAGCATAGGCTGTCTGTGCAGACAGTACAGGCTGTCTACACAAGCTTGACACCAAGCTTGACCCCAAGCTTGACCCCAAGCTTAACACAAAGCATGACCACCAAGCTTGACCCCCAAGAATGACCCCAAGCTTGACACCCCAAGCTTGACCCCCATGCTTGACCCCTAACTTGACCCCAAATCTTGACCCCAAGCTTGACCCCAAGCCTGTCCCCCAAGCTTGACCCCCAAGCTTGACCCCAAGCTTGACCCCCAAACTTGACCCCAAGCTTGACACCTCAAGCTTGACATCCTCAAGCTTGACCCGCAAGCTTGACCCAAGCTTGACCCCAAACTTGACATCCCCAAGCTTGACCCCCAAGCTCTACCCCTAAGCTTGACCCCCAAGCTTGAGCCCTAAGCTTGACCCCAAGCCTGACGAAGCTTGACCCCCAAGCTTGACCCCACTCTTGACTCCAAGCTTGACCCCAAGCCTGACCTTCACCTTGTTGCCGCGGGGTGATTTAGAGGGGTCAGATTTTGAAAAAAAAGTGCATCTTATATGCCACAAAATACAATATATGCACATCCTCTCCCAGATAAGCCATATAGGTTTAATTTACAAAATGGTGGAGTTGTAGGCCAATGGAAGGTCTCAGTCAAATGACCACAAGCTCCTGTGGCGGGTCATCATATGACTGAGACCCGCGTCAGGAAACACTTGTCCTGTTTCCTGACAAACCTTACCTAACCTCCCCAGGTAGATCTATTTGTGACTTTAAAAAAGCCAACTGTGTGCGAAAATCATTGTTAATTAAGGATCGCATTGGACTGCATTTGTGTTTCTTTCCAGCAGGTGTTTCACGTGAGCATGATATTAATATTAATATCAGGTGTTTCCTTCATCACTAAGGCTCTAGTTGGGTTCTACACCAGCACTAGAAGCAACAGCAGCAGCAACAACAGCCAGGATGACAAGTTGGTGCCAGAGAAGTTAGGACAGAAGCTCTCCTTACTACTGCAGCCTTACATGATACCACAGGTCAGTGTACAACTGTTATACTTATACAACCACAGGTCAGTGTACAACTGTTATACTTATACAACCACAGGTCAGTGTACAACTGTTACACTTATACAACCACAGGTCAGTGTACAACTGTTACACTTATACAACCACAGGTCAGTGTAAAATTTTTTATACTTATACAACAAAGGTCAGTGAAACAACGTTTATTATACAAAACAGGTCAGTTTTACAACTGTTAAAAATTAAAAAACCCAAACGGTCAGTGTACAACTGTTAAAACTTATACAACCCAGGTCAGTGTAAAAACTTTTAAACACTTATAAAAACCAAAGGCCCAGTGTAAAAACTTTTTCCCACTTATACAACCACGGTCAGGGGTTACAACTGTTACACTTACACAACCACAGGCCCAGTGTACAATGTTAAAATTATCAACCACGGGGTCAGTGTACAATTTGTTACATTTATACAACCACAGGTCGGGTGTACAACTGTTACACTTATACAAAAAAAGGGTTTCAGTGTACAACGTTACATTTATAAAACCCCACGGGTCAGTGTGCAACTGTTACACTTATAAAACCACGGTCAGTGAACAACTGTTACATTAAAAAACCCACGGGTCTTTTAAAAATGTTCACTTATAAAACCCCAAAAGGTCATTTGTCAACTTTTAAACCTTAAAAAACCCCAAGGTCATTTTACAACTGCTAAAATTATACAACCACAGGTAAATTGTACAACTGTTACACTTTTAAAAATCACGGTCAGTGAAACAACTTTTTACACTTAATAAAACCCAAAAGGGGTCATGTTACAACTTTTACCTTGAAACAACCACGGGTTCACTGTGGAAATATAAACACTATGCAGAAATAATGTGATCCTTTATTGTCTACGTTTCGCCCACACTTGGGCTTTTTCAAGCCCAACAAACAGATCGTTTGTGACTTAAAAAAAGCCCATGTGTGGGCAAAAAACGTAGTAAATAAAGGTTAACATTATACTGATATTGTTTATTTTTCCCCTTGTGTCGGTATTTTACCCCATTTTTTTCCCAACAGGCACGTACAACTATTATACTTTGTAAAAATTAAAAGGGGCAGTTTTAAAACCACAGGTCAGTGAAACAACGGGAAAAATTTGTAAAACCACGGGTCAGTGAAACAACTGTTAAATTTTGAAACAACCACAGGCCCAGTTTACAATTGTTTAAAACCTTTTACAACCACAGGTCAGTATCCCAACTTTTAAAAACTTGTACAACCACAGGTCGTGTACAACTAAAAAATTTGTAAAAACCACAGGTCGTGTAAAAACTGTTTAATTGTACAACCACAGGCCACGAAACAACTTTTAAACTTGTACAAACTCGGGTGTGAAATAACTTTTTAAATTTTTGTACAACCACAAGACAGTGTAGGACTTTTCAACCACAGGTCGTGTCCCAACAATCACATTTGGTTAAAAAACCACAGTCACTTTTAAAACGTTTTACTGTACAGCGGTCACTCTCAATGTTACCCCTTAACAAAAAACAGGTAAATGTACAATTAAAAAATTGTAAACCACGGGCCCCATTGTCCAATTTTTAAAACCCCTTGAAACAAAAACGGGTAAGTGTACAACTGTTTAAAATGTAAAACCCAACGGGTTTATTGTCAACTGTTAAACTTTAAAAACCACGGGTCATTTGGCAACTATTTAAACTTGTAAAAAAAAAGGGGCCCATGTACAACTGTTATCATGTAAAACCACAGGTCAGTGTAAAAAACGGGTTACCAATTTAAAAACCCAGGTCATTGAAACAACGTTTTAAACTTGTACAACCACAGGTCATTGTAAAACGTTTTTTAAAAATTTTACAATTTTCGGGGTCGGGTTTAAACAACTTTTTAAAATTGAAAACCCCACGGGGCACTGTAAAACTTTTACACTTTTTAGAACGGGTCACTGTACAACGTTACACTTTTTTAAAAACAGCTCGTCACTGTAAAAACTTTTTTTCACTTGAAAACAAAGTCACTGTACAACGTTATACATGTGAAACCCACAAGTCAGGAACAACTGTTATACTTGTACAACGGGTCATTCACAACTTTTTCACTTGAACACAACAGGCCCTTTGTAAAAACTGTTAAACTTGTCCAACCAAAAAGGCGTGTAAAACTTTTTTAAACTTGTACAACCCCCCGGTCAGTGTATAAGGGTTATAATGTACAACCACAGGCACTGTACAACTGTTAAATTTGTACAACCAAAAAGGTCAGTGACAATTTAAAACTTGTACAACCAAAAGGTCATGAAACAACTGTTTTACATGTAAAACCACGGGTCAGTGAAAAACCCTGTTCCCACATGTAAAACCCACGGGTTCAGTGACAACTTTTTATACTTTGTAAAAACCACGGTCAGTGTAAAAACTTTTTACCTTGACAACCAAGGTCACTTTTAAAATTTGTTACACTTGTACAACGGGTCACTGTAAAACTTTTACACTTGTACAAAAAACAGGTCACTGTAGGGTTTGGTTTGGTTTGATGATGGGGGTTTGATAGTGGGGGGTGTTTGGTTTGGGTGGTGGTGGGGTTTTTAATGGGTGGTGGTGGTGAGTTGATGGTGGGGGTGGTGGTGGTGAGGGTTTGGTGGGGGTTTGATGAATGATGGTGGTGGGGTAATGGTGGTGGGGGTAGTGGTGATGGTGGGGTGGTGATGGGGTGGTGATGGTGTTGGTGGTGGTGGTGATGATGATGGTGGGTTGGTGGCGGTGGGGGAATAAATGGGGGTGATGGTGGTGGTGGTGTTGTTTGATGGTGGTGGGGGGGGTGGGGGGGGATGATGGTGGTGGGGGTTTGATGTTTATTTGGTTTTTGGTGGTGGTGGTGATGGTGGGGGGTTTTGGGGTAAATGATGATGATGGTGGTGGTGGTGATGTGGTGGTGAGGGTTGGGGGGGGGGTGGGGGTGATGATGATGTTGGTGGGGGTTTGGGGGGGTGGTGAGGGTTTGGGGGTGGTGATGATGATGAGGGGTGTTGGTGATGGTGGTGATGGTGAGGGGTGGGTGGGGGTGGGGTGGTGGTGGTGGTGGTGGTTCTGGTGGTGGTGGTGGTGGTGGTGGTGGTGGTGTTGATGGTTGGTGGTGGGGGGGTGGTGGGGGTGGTGGTGGTGGTGGGGGGGTGGTGGGGGTGATGGGGGTGGGGTGGTGGGGGTGAGGTGGTGATGATGGTTGGGGGTGGTGGTGGGGGGTGGGGGTGATGATGATGTGGGTGGTGGTAATGGTGGGTGGGGGAGGGGTTTGATGGTGGTGGGGTTTGGTGATAAAGGTGGTGGTGGTGGGGGTGGGGGTTTGTTATGGTGGTGGTGGTGGGGGGTGATGGTGGTGGGGGGTTTTGTGAGGGGTGGGGTGGTGGTGGTGATGTTGAGGGTGGTGGGGGTGGTGGTGGGGGGTGGTGGGGTGATGATGAGGGGTGGTGGGGGGTGGTGAGGGTGGTGGTGATGGTCGTGGTATGGTGGTGGTGGTGGGGGTGATGGTGGTGGTGGGGGTGATGATGGTGGTGGGGGTGGGGTGGTGGTGATGATCGTGGGGGGTTGGTGGTGATGAGGGGTGGTGGTGGGGGTGGTGATGATCTTGGGGGGGTGAATGGTGGTTGGTGGGGGTTTGGTGGTGATGGTGGGGTGGTAATGGTGTTTAAAGGGTGATGATGGGGGTGATGGTAAATTGGTGGTGGTGTGGTGGGGGGATGATCGTGGTGGTGGGGGGTTTTGAGGGTGGTGGGGGTTTGGGGGTGGTGATGATCGGGGTGGTGGTGATGATGGTGGGGGTGGGGGGGGTGGTGGGGTGGTGGGGGTAATGGTGATGATGGTGGTGGTGGGGGATGGGGGTGGTGTTTGGTCGGGGTTTGATGGTGGTGGTGGTGGTGGGATGGTGGTGGTGGGGGTGTTGATGGGGGTTTTGGTGGTGGGGGTGGTGGTGATGACGGGGTGGTGGGGGTTGATATGGTGGTGGTGGTTTGTTTGTTTGGGGGTGATGAGGTGGTGATGGTGAGGGGTGGTGGGGGTTTGGGTGGTGATGATCGTGGGGGTGGTGGTGATGATGGGGGGTGGTGGGGGTGGTGTTGATCGTGGGTGGTGATGTGGTGGTGGTGGTGGGGGTGGGAGGGGTTGGGGGTTTGGAATGGGGGGTTGATGGGGGTGGTGGTGAAAAAAACATGATTTGTGAGATGGGAGGGGGAGCATGCCCCAGGGTTTTTCTTTGTTCAAAACAATATTTTTTTTAATTTAAACCTTTTTAAATTTTTTTGCAGAAGAAAAAATAAAGCATCTATATTTGTATTTTATTTTGGTGGTGCGCCGGAATTTAAAAACTTTCGGGGTTTAAACTTTTGACGATAAAATGTACTTTAAGTAACTAAGAAATCTTTCAAAATTAAATACAACTTAGGGGGCCTTCTGTAAACCAGTATGAGTTTACACATTTTGTTTTAAAAGATACTTATTGTTTGCCCCTTTTAAAATCTGTAACAAAGGGGGTTACCTTGTCAGGGGGAATGTTTAGGAAGTTTTTTTTGGAAGCAGGCAGTTTTTAAATACACATAACAAATGCGTTAAAATTTGTATCCTTGAAATCCAAATCTGAAATATTTATATTTTGTTGAATTAAAAGGTTATTACATTTTAAAACACAAATTTTTTATAAAATAAAAAAGGGGACATTTTTACTGAATATCTCTCTAGTTGCATTTCGATTTTTTTTTGGGTTTACCCAAAATTTTGACAAACCCCTGCCCCTGTTGGAAAAAGGGAAAGTTGATCGTCACATTTGCTGAAGATTTATGAGCAGAGACAAGGTAAGAACCTGAGTGTTTGTTGGCAGGTTATTCGGGCGGGAGAAAAACCCTGACACAAGCCAAAACCTGGCATATTTTGGGCTTCTAAATTTCCGGGAACCTTGGCACCCCTGCCTTGTTTTTTACATAGCAAAGTATTGAACTCTCTCTCAAAAAAAAATTATTGTTTGTGTATTTCTGTTTGAAATTTCGGGAAAATTTGAAAATATCTGTTATTCCAAAATTTTTAAAAATTGGGTTTTAAATTTTGGGTGGCCTATACAGTTTTAAAAGTTATCAAAAAAGATCACAGTAAACATTGATTTTAAAAAATTGGGCAAAACACTTAAAAGAGTTTTTGAAATTCCAAGCGCTTTCGTGGATTTACTCACTTTTGTAAAGGAATTTTATATTTCTTTATAATTACCTTCATTAAAAAAAACGGGTTGTTTTATTTTTAAAAACTAAGAAACTTGTAGAGTCACATTTTTTAGATAATTTTAAAATTGTATTGAAATTTAATTGCAAAAATGTTGATAGCGGGGAAGGGTTTACCCCAATCAGCTCTCACACGAACACACACAAACAGGTCCATGATTTGATTCCCGGTACGGGGGGGGACACATTAGTGAATAAGTACCTGGGTTTTAGTCGACTGGGAAGGGCATCCAACTGACAAAATTTAAACCCCAAGTTCCGGGAAAACCTCTGTTTCAATGTGGGTCATTCGCTCCCGCCCAAAGGTGGAGTGTGGTTTGTCTCGGCACCCCTCTGCTGTCTTCAGGCGAGTACCTTAGTTCACAAAAACCCATTGAGTTTTGGGGGACGGGGCGCTGTCATTGGGATATAAACCATGGGGGAAAAAATACATTTACGGAGAGTAAATTTCATCTGCTTAAGTGGTTCGTGGTATTTTAAGTGGAGAACAAAATAAAACGTCCTTCTCCCAAAAACCATCGGGGGATACATATGGTATTCCCAACGAGGAATTGTAGGGCTTTGCCCTTAATTTTTTTTAAAAAGAATTTTTGTAAAATTTTCTACAAAGTTGATTACTACCAAAAATTTTGTCGACCCTTTAAACCGGGAAAAAAGAAATGGTTGGGGAATTAAAAACGAGGGAAATTTTGTTTTACATAAACTTTCTCTAAGTACTTCACATGGGTGAAGGTACGGAATGATCCCTTCGAGGCTACGGTTTAGGGCCCTTTGCGGGGAGTTTTTTGGGAAAGTTAGGGACGTGCATTCTGCAAAAATTGGGGGTGGGGGGGGGAGGGTTTCCCATATAAAGGGAAAGGGCCGGAATTTTTTTCACCCTTAAAATGCCCTTAAAAAAAGGCCCTATCCCTTATGTTACGTTGATGGGTTTTTTGAACACGGGTTTATGTTTTCTAGCGGGGAAAAGGGGAAAACATGTCGTCTATGTAGCTTTTAAAGGCACGGGAAGCCCAGGGGTCTAGGAGGCGGGCTTCTGAATTTCGACACTCCAATTGTGTTTCCAACAGTCGTGTAATTTGGTGCCTGGCCTGAGCCTCGGGACCGGGGGAAATGCCCTTTCCTGGAGCAAAGAGTCGACCGGGAGGTGGGGCGGCGGGGACATGTGTCATTTCCCCCAGGGGCGTCGGGGGGTTTTGGGAAGGTGACATCGGGAGGGGGGACTTTCGTCCAGGAAGCTTAAACCCCGGGGATGGGTTATTGGCAGATGGATAAAAAGATTTTTGGATGAGGGGAACCCTGTGCAAAAGGTGTCCTCAGTTCCCTGTGAAAATGGAACTTTGGAGGGACAACAAATTGTTGAGGAAGACTTGAGTTTAAAATTTTGGGGGGGGGAAACATGTGGTGCCGTGGGGGAAAACCCGGGGGAAATTTTCTGAGGGGATATGTTTGTAATGTGGGGTTTTTTAGGGAAAAACCCAACTGCGGCATCAAAAAATAATGAAGGGCATTAACCCCCCGGGCAAGGGCCCGGGGGAAAAAGTTCCCTGGGCAGCGGTTGTGGAGCCGGGGGACACATAAATGGTAAGGTGTGCCTGAAATTTCAAATTGGGGGGGGGGGGGGGGAAAGGGAAAAGGGGGGGGAAGTGACTGCACAGGAAAAATCGAGTGGCCCCAAAGGGAAAACTAATATGAAAAGTTTCAGTGGGGAAATCCCCGAGGATAGGGGGGAAAACCGCCCCTTCTGTTAAATTTTAAAATTTTGTTTACGCTTTAAAGTTTTTGGACTTAAGAAATGAGGTCAAAAAAAGTTTGGTTGGGGTTGTTTTTTAAAGGGGGGTTTTTGTTGAAAATATGCTTTCTGCAAGAGCATAATCACGGGCTGGTGTGTTTTTGGGTTTAGGGTAAAAGGGTATCGGAAAGTATGTAACCAGTGGTTTGCAATTGAAAAGGGGGGGGGGTTTGCAGTTGCGGTAAAGGAGACCAGCCCCTTGCGTGTCATCCCGGGTTTGGGGAAAAGGGGGGGGGGGGGAGGATCGTGAGGGTGGGTGGGGTCCCGGGGGGAGTCGAGTTAGTTTCGTGGGAGTTTACATGAAAACAACAAATTTAAAATCAGGGGAAAATAGATTTTTTCAGAGAGGTATTGCTGTATCACTTGAGAGGTTTTCCTGCTTAACGTAATAGGAGGGGGATTTGGGTTTTTGGATTTTGGAGTGGTGATTTTCGAACCCAGAGGGGGGGGTTGTGTGTTAGTGTGCTGAGGGATGTATTGCGAGTTAAATTTGGGGGTTTTTGATTTGGTGGGGGGGGGGGGTTTCCAAATGGAGAAAAAAATTCGTCCGTAGGGGATAGAAGCGCGATTAGACCCGAATTTATATTAAGCAGGGTAAGATTTTGTGAGGGTGCAAACCCTTTGATGTTGGGGGTTTCCCGATCAAAAGAGCGGTTTAAAAAGCGATTTTATTTTGGGATGGGGTGGTGCGTTTTTTTCTGGGTACTGGAAATTAAAAGTAAGGCTTTTAAGGAGGAGGGGGGGGGGCCTTTTTTTTTATTGGGGGGGTTGCCTTTTTGGGGAGGCTAGGAAAAGGGAGATAGATTTTGTTAGATTTGGGGGGAAATGCAGGCAAAAACCCGGGAAAAGCGAATTTTTTTTAAAGGGTAGGGGGCGATGGAGGGGAGGTGGGGTTTTTTGGGGTTTCAAAATTTTTTGGAGGGACAGGGTTTCAAGATTGGGTTTTGTTGGGGGGGGGTGGTAGGAGGGATGATATGGACAGGGCGCGGAGTGAATAGCTGAATTCCACAAGATAAAGGGGGTTTATGCAATTAGGGTTAGGGGGGTTAGAGGATGTTTTTTGGGGGTGATAAACCCTGGGGATGTTTTTTCGAAATTTCGGGACCGGGCAGGTGTAACCCCCATTCTTTCAATTGGAGACAAGCCCTGGGTGGGGGGTATTTTCCCGTGGGTCGAGTCCCCATCCAATACGGAAAGAAAGAGTCTCTATGTGAAAAAGGTTTAGGAGAAATGGAGTTGGAGGGGGGGGGGGGGGGGTTCCTGGGAGGGTATTTTTGAAGGGGGGTTCCATAGGGTTTTTAAATGAGCGGATTAAATGGGGTTGGGGGTTGGGATAATGAGGTTTAGGGGGAAGAGGCAGTTTTCCCGGGGTGAGTACCGGGAAAACACCAAAGGGGTAAACGGTTTAATTTTCCAAATGATTTTTATTTTGGGGCACATTGGGGGTGTATTAAGGGAGTGTTTTGTTAGGCTAATTTGGAAACCTTTTGTTTCCCAGTGGGAAGTTGGGCATAACGAAAAAACGGGTTTTTCATAGTTTTGGTGCCCAAAAAAGGGGGGGGGGAAGAGTTGAGTGCTTACCGTGCAATTTTCTTTTATGTGCGTGATTACAAAAGGTTTTTTGGAAAAATTTTTGGGGAATTTGAATGAAGAAGGTCATGGGGTCGGTGATAATGGGGGAGAGTTTTGGGAAACCCGGGGGGGAGTATGGGGGGGTAGGTCATGGTCGTATTCGGGATTTTTTAGGGTTTGTAATAAGGGTTATTCTAGGGCTGGGGTTGGGGAAAGGGTTATGAAAGTGGAAAGGGGAAATTTTTTTTGAGAGTATGGTAGAATTTGGGTTTTTGGGGGGGGAGGGTGGGTTTGGGTGGGTGAGGGGGCTTGTAAGAGAATGCATCAATGAGGACAGGTAAATTGGGGGTTTGGGGAGTTCAGTAAGCATGGGAAGGGGTTTTTAAAGGCGGGGTGTCCACTCCCCCCAAAAAACTCTTTGCATGTATGCAGAATCCTTTCCCATTTTCGGTTTGATGGGGGATGGGGAAGGTTTTGGGGGGGAGTGGAGGATATTGTGGGAAAAATTTTGGTTAGTAGATGATAAAAACTGTTTTACTTTAAAAATTTTAAGATTTAAGGGGAAAAATGGGAAGGGGTTTTTGAAAATTTTTTGGGGGGAAAGCTATGGGATGAGAGTTAATTTAAACAGAAAAACACGGTTTTTTGGAGGTAGGCGCCTTGGGGAGGAGGGACCCTTGGGGGGGGAGTTTGGGTTTGGGTAACTGAGTTTGCTAAAGATTTGTGGGATTTTTTTTTTGGGAATGCACAGGGGAGAAAGGGGGGTTAATTCAGAAAAGGTAAAGGACAGAGCTTTGATTAGGCCCGAGGGGGCTAAGGGCCGGGGGTGTAACCTTGGGATTTTAAAGGGGTTGGTGGGTGGTAAATACGGATTTATTTGTATGGGGGACCCAAAGGGAAAAGGGGAAATTTTCCCATTAAAAAAGTCAGGATATTAATTTGGAAAAAGCAAAGAAGGGTTTAAGGTATGTGTGGGGGTAGGGAGGGCGTTTGGTTGGGGAAAAAATGTAGTTTAAAGATGCGGTTAAAAGGGGGGAGGACTGGGATTGATTGCATTTTGGGTCAGGGGGAAGGCGTATATGTGAAACAGGGGGGTATATTCGGGCAGCGGGGGGGAAAAAGGGCTTGGGGTGGGGGAGGTGAAGGGGGGATTCAAAAGGTTTGGGGGGGCCCGGGGGTTGTGGGGTGTGAAGACATGTTTTCGGTTTATGTTAAAGGTATG